CTCCCCCTCCTTTGTTGAAGGCTGTTTTGAGCTCTTTGGCCCCTGCGTTGTTCAAGCAAAACCGCTTAAACGCAGCGTACTCACTGGGGTGTGTGCCGGAATTCGCCTGACCCGGAGCTGGTGGGGGCGGCATGCTTCTAGGCAATGCTGAGGCTGGAATGGGGGCAACCGGTGCACTTGGAACGCCCGTCGGGGCAGCTGGAGCTGGAACCTGAGCTGGAACCTGGGCTGGTACAGGGGCTGGAACGGCTGGAGCTGCCGGCATAGGTGCTGGTACAGGGGCTGGAACCTCTGCTGGAGGCGGTGTGGGGGCTGCTGGAACCTGTGCTGGAGGCAGTGTGGGGGCTGGAGCTGCCGCCGTGGGCGCTGGTACAGGGGCTGGAACCTCTGCTGGAGTGGGGGCTGCTGGTGTAGGAGCCTCAGCCACTGGCGCGGAAGGCTGCATGGCCAGTATCAATTCATCCACTTGCGCCCGAGACTTGGCATCCAAACCCAACTCTTGCAAGGCCGTGACCAAGGCATTCATCTCATGTGAGACTGGCGGTGGTGACACTGGTGGTGAAGGAGGTTTGGGCGGTGCACTTTTGGCGCAAGTTGGAACTGCAGCGACCGAGGTCTGCAATGGCTGGGGTGCAGGGCCGCCTGCAGGTTGGGCGGGCTCGGGTTGCTCAGCTGCTTGCTTGGGCGCAACGCTATCTGCAGGCTTGGCGTGCTCAGGTTGCGCTGGTTCTGGCACAGGGCTAGGCTTGGTGTGCTCAGGTTGCCCTGGCTTGGTGTGCTCAGGCGCTGGTTCTGGCGCAGGGCTAGCTGCAGGCTTGGTGTGCTCAGGCGCTGGTTCTGGCACAGGGCTAGCTGCAGATTGGGTGTGCTCAGGCTCGTTGAGCGCAGGGCTGGCTGCAGGCTGGGATTCTGGGTTTGGGGCCGGGGTGGACCGACGCAGTTCCTCCTCCAGCTCACGCTCAAATGTTTCCTGGTCAAATTTGTGTTCATTGGGCGGTGTCTGCTGGTGGGCTTGACTGCCGTCACTGGGGATGGCTGTGTTGGGCGGGGTCACCGCTGCATTGTCTGCTTTCTCCAACTCGCTTCCGAGCTTTGCCAAACCTCGTCGGTAGGTGTCGTGAGGCGGTGTTGCTGTGGCTGTCTCGGACGGAGGGACAGTGGGCATGGAAGGGGGCGCGGCTGGGGGTACGCCCAAGCTCGCACTGCTTTCTGAGCGCTTCACGACCTCATGCTTAACAAGCTCATGCTTGGGTGGCGGAATTGGCTCCTGTGGGCCCTGGCTCCCCGAGGCATCGGTTTTGGGAGGGGGCGGGGTTTGGTTCCGAAAACGGTGCCAAAACTGGCAGTATTTTTTCTTTGTGTAAGGCGACAGCACTGGCAAGGCATCTGGGTCTTCACTTTTCTTTCTTTTCTGCGAGCGGGCAGCTGCAGGCCCCGCTCCATCTGGTGCGATGCTCAAATTCTGGGCTGCCAAGACATCAAGTCCCCGGTCAAGCGTGGATCCTCTGTGGTAGGCTCGCGGTTCGGCTGGCAGAGTGACCGGAACATCCTCTGGCCGGTGGCTGGTGGCCAACACAGCGGCTGACACATCACTGGTTTGCATGGAGCGGGAGACCATCGCTTCATCCGAGCTGTCGGTGAACGATGCCCCATGGGCCAACATCGAAGCACTTTGAAGGAGCTGACTCTCCGATGCCACTTGCGTTTCATCTTCTGGCAAAGGTAAGGTTGGGGCGGCGCCTGCGGGGTCTGGAGTGGCTGGTTCCACTGCTGGTGTTTCTTTGTTTGAGAGCGGTACATCAACTGGGCTGGCTATTGGCGTGCCTGCAGAGCTGGTGGCTGCTGGTGTTGGAGTTACACTGGTCACAGGTGTTGTGGTTGAAGGCGTGGTAGAGCCCCCACCCCCCCCACCACTCTCTCCTTTCAAAGCCATCCTTGGCTCAGAGAGTTTTTCTTTTGTTAATGCGCTACAGTAAAAATGGAATCAACGCATGAACCAAGGGGCAGTTTTGCTTGGATCGACGCTTTCTGATCGGGTGTTAAACTGTCCAGCTTCATTCTCGCATCAACTTGGCGAGCCAGCTCCTGAACAAAGAGCACTATGAATAGTTAGCAACAAACATCATTCACAAATGTGGGTGGTGTGGCCACTACGATACACACAGCCATGCGTCAGCCACGTACTCTGGAGTCAAAGTAGGCCCCGTGGTCTTCTTTTTGGGCGCCATGGCCACAAACCAAAGCTGCAATGCACGGACACTAGAGGCGCTGCTTGAAATTAGAAACCGAGACGCCAGGACAAAAATCCACCTGACACCAAAAAAAATTAAGCAGACCATGATCCCAAGCATACCACCAAGAACCCCTAAGTTCGACGCAAATCGACGCAAATCGACGGGTTTCGACGGGTTTCGACGGCCTTCGACGCTAGGGCCTCAATCCTTAAAAAAAGTTGATTTTGCTAAAAAAACCATTCACAGCAACGACAAACTCGTGACTGCACTAAGTTCACCCAAGTTTTTCACCCAAGTGTGTCTCCAAGTAGCTTCAACACATCAGCTGGAAACAAATCTAGATCAAACCCGAAGCTTGTTTCACAAGCCAAACCCCAGAGGATCGTTAAACACCTCTTGAATCAAACACTTCGCGTGGCATGTTCCAGCATGTTCCACGGCGTCCCTCTAATTTCCAGAGTCAAAGCCAGTCACGCGGCCAATCGGTGGGCAACTTCAAGGCACAACATTTTTTGAGATAGTCCACCACATCATACAGCAAGGCCTGAGTTCACTGTCTCACATATCCACCTTCCCTTCAACAAGAAAACGGAGAACGCGTTGGAAACATTGTGGCGGGTGTTGCTGGAAGACTACCGCGCCACTGTCCCAAGGACATGTTATTGACACGCCAGCGCTTGATGCGACCCTTGGCGTTTAAAGAGTGGAGGCAAGTCGCATCTTCTTGCCAGTCGATGGGGTGACTGAAGAGGAGGGCAATGTTTCGGGCCTGGCCAAAGCACATTAAGAGCTAGGAAGAGGCAACCTTGAAAAATGGGTTAGCCATTTTTGAGAAAAACGTGAACCCAAATGAAGCCATGCAACGCCTGGCATGAAGACACCCGTGGGGGCCCACAACCACTTGCATTCACAAGTCAGAAAAATCTTTGGCAATTGCCTTTCTCATTTCAAGTGTCCTCCGGAAACATTTTGTGGGTTAAGTACTAAGGAGGCCCCAAAATCAAGCATGTTTGACAAGATTGACCGGTCACATGTGAACTGTTTCTCACGCCACGTCCGAGGAGGCCTCATCGTACCGTTCTCCACACACTTCGAACATGGGTGGCAGAAGCTCGGCAAACTGGCACCCGTGGCAGATTTCCTGGGCCAAGCCAACCGCTGGCAAACGCTATCAATAAAGGACATTTGGGGGGGAGCGCCAAACACCTTCCAAAGTTAAGGATTGAAAAAGGGTACCCTCCAGCAAGTGTGGTTTCATACAATTTACGGCCATTTTCATCCCTGACTTGAAACGGCCTGGTGGTTCTCAGGGTGGGCGCATTGTGCACAATGTTTCCAGGGTAACCATATTACATCATATTACATATAATTCTTGGGATGAACTTCGACGAGACATGCGTAAAGTTGGTTGACAAGCGGTGGTCCCGCTCAGAACCCGCTTCACTTCACCTCTAGTTGTTCTTTTGGCACATGTGTTGAGGACAATTTCAAGGCGTGCCTACCGCACTCCAAACAATATTCAATTTGAACACCAGGGCTCGTTGCGAGGCATTGCTTCCTTGCAACCACGAAGCCAAGAATCCACCACCGCAGCGGCAAATTCTGGAGTGTATTCCCTAAGTGAGTGCCCAAGAAAATAAAGAAAAGATCCTGGTCACAACGTGTATGTTCCACAAGTTTATGGGTTCCAAAAAAACGTCTTGGAGCTGACAGATCGCTTGATCTGAGGAACTGTGTGCTCTTCAAGGCATCCTTCATGCCAGTGACTCGCACGCGGCCATCGACCTGATGAGCGCACGGTCGCTGACAAGGTCAGTGCAGCGTGTCAAACATGATCTCGAGGTTTCCGTATACTTCTAGGTCTATATTAATTAGAGTCATATGCAACATTCTAATCCCACCGTATTCTGATTGTGTAGACCTCACTGGGACAAGTGGCAATAGTCTTTTTGACTAACTTCTTGTTCAAAGACGGTGTGCTCGGTTTAGATTGGGGCGGCCTGCTGGAGAGCAAAGCCTCGGCCAGGACATGCCACGGGGAATGGTGCAACTCAAGGTTCAGAACACTTGTAAACATAAGCCCTACGAATCTAGCTATGAGCAAAGTTCCGTTTGTTTTACACCAGTGGTCGCCTTGATTTGCACGACCTTGCTTGATTGAACCCAGCAGCAGCGAAGCATCGGTGGTTGGCAAACAGGTGAGTTGGCTTCGATGTTGGAGCTGCGAACCACTGCATCTTAATCGCTACACGGTAGACCTTGTGTGATGTGAGAGGTGGCAAATTAAGCTAATCAGAAGCAGTGCGACCGGCAATTAATGACAATTATGACTGACTAGTGGCTGCTTTCTTTTTCAAGCAGAGTTAAACAGAATCATTTGACACCACTATCGGTCGAGCTGCGTGCGTCTCTCGCGCCAGCTCCCTGAAACGGTCAGTAATCTGTAGGCCTTGCGGTCGCTTAGGTTGCTCAATAACCGTATAGTGGCCAAGTGCCCTGCTGAACCTGTAAAGAAGCAGCGTCCTTCGAGTTCAACAACTACTTGACCCCACCTTGAAAAGACATAAAAGACATAGAAGACCAACAAGCATGTTCAACGCATGCTTTTCCAGCAGTATACTGTGGCATGCAACAGGCTTTGCATATAGTATAGGCTTTTGGGTGTTCATGGATCCACATTCGAAAAGGTTGCTTGGTTGGAAATCAAAGGGAGAATGGTCTAGCAGAAGTTTCCCAGGTGAAATGATCTGAGTTGTTTGGGCACAGGTCTCCTGATGAAAGCATTCGCTTCGGGCAAAACAACATCTTGGCGCTGAAGGACTTGTGCTATGGGCTGAAATACACAACGAGGGTGATGTCAACGTGGTTGTTTTGAAATGTCATGGTGGGGATCGCTCGATGTAAAGTAATTGTTTTGCGGGGTCCGTATACGCAAGCCAGTCCTTTGCTTATGAACAAACGCGGAGATTCAGAAAAACCCTGTCCTTTTTGATAAAAGGTTGCCCACCAGCACGCTTGGCACGGGCAAGCCCTCTGGAAGCAACCATCCACGCCCCGAAGTCCATTGGTTCACCCAAGAGTAGCTTGAACCTTGTCTACCCATGCCCACTCAAGTTTTTTAGACAATCAAACTCTTAAAGCAAGAGTGCAGACGCTGTTTTGAGTTCAAGAGTTTCACCGCTTTATTTCCATGGTCAACTGCGCAATCGTGTTTCCACGGTTCTTTCCTATCAGCGTTGTTTGCGCACAAAAACGACAAAACCTCTTGATGAAAAACACCAGGCCACAAACAGGAGCGTACAGCACCAGACCATGCCGTCGCACACGTCGCACGCATATCAAAGCCAATCTAGATGACACATGATGACACGCTTTTCCATTCAAAGCGGCTTTCATCATATGAAACAATAACAAAACAAACCCGCACACAGCTCACACCCCTTTGCAAAATGCAGCGACCACAGAGCGACGCGCGCAGGTTTCAGGCAAGGAACATGAACCCTGCGCTTGATGTGAGATCAAGTGCATCAGACATTGCAACGTCGAAGCCGCGAGATTGGAAGCCCCGAGCTTGGCATTCATTGACTATTGCCTGAGCACGGACACATCAACAGGACAGCTTCACCCACTATTTTCAGACTCCAAATCTCACACAAGCGCAATTGTACGACTTCATACAACGTCAGCCTGAACGCCGGCAAAGATCTCCGCGCTGTCTATGTCCCCTATGTTTGGAGCCTTACATCGATCCATCACTGCCTTTAGCTGTCAATTGAGGCAATTGCGCGTTCAAGTTTTTTGCCACTCAAAAGTCTGCATACAGGGCACGACCGTCGATGTGTAGGCAAGAAGAAAGATAATGCAAACAAGTGCCCGGGGCCTAGGTGTGCCACATTGCTTGAACACGGACTCAAAATTTTCTAGGCCCCAAATAGATAGAAAAGCAGATGCCCACTAAAACTGTATTGGAAATGGTTTCTATCTATTTTTGGATTAACTTGATACATCTCCAATAAGAGCTTAGTATATATATATATATATACGTACATAGTTTTCCTTTCAACCATGGCGTATGAGCCCCGCGCAAATTGGCCTGCAGCATGTTGCCCACGTTCGGACGCGGCCCAAAACGAGTACTTCCCTCCATCATCGTACTGGACCGCACTGGAAACCAAAAGCGGCTGAGATTGCACAGAAAAATCATCGAACGACTGCCAGACATGAAGTCTAAACGCGCCCGCACTGATTTGCCTCCCCAAAAAGGCAGGAGAGTTTTTTGGTCTTTGACTTGAACTTGCCCGGTGGCATGGGGTGTTCTGTTCAAAACGTGACACGACTAAGGCTGTCGGAGTTTCGAAAGGTTACATCTCCAACCTACGCTTCTTGCGTTCGCCCTCGCTCATGTTGTCCAACAATGCCCTGGGCGCATCCCGGGCCGCGCTCAAAAGCAAAACAGACATGCACAGTTCGACGCTGATCAAAACATGACAGAAGTACATAAGTTCACAGTTTTAACACCGGTGGACATCCATGATATAAGGCAAGCACTTCCGCACAGCTGATTGTTTCCATAGCTGGTTGGCAACCTCAGGGCATCACCGATGGTAAGTCTAGCAGCGCATGCAGTCAGAGAGTGCGCAATGCTCGCTGGCAATTTTACCTTTGGCGTGGGTCATGAAATCTGGCCCTTCAGGTCCCACATAAATTGCCTTAAACCACCGTTTTGAAGCGGCCAAATGGGACTTAGGGCCAGAGTCCATGACCCAACCGAAGTGGAAATTTAACCATGCTCGCCAAAGAACCGCATGCGTGCACTCGTACTCGGATTTCGCTGTCTTCAAAAATTCTGAATAAGCTTGCCATAGAGGTCCACCAGAAGGGCCAGGGTGTGCCTCCGTGCAAAAAGATCAGAAACACGCTTGCCCAAATCAGGAAACACGAGCGCCTTTTTTGCCTTCTTCGGGGGTTCCTGCAACATGTAACTGAATCACAGCAGAGGGTCCCACAAAACTATCTACATATTTGGTCCTCTGCATCTGCGGCCTTTTGAACAGCCTGCGTGCACAACAAAGGTAAAAAATATGAAGCGCCAATATAGTATATATATATGAGAAAACATATGTATGGCGATGCTGCTGAAGCGTGAACTGAGCATGGGTACATGTGGGCCTGATCACCAGCATCTTCACGCTCCTCACGCTTATCTTGGCAAGTGTTGGGGTCCTTGGCCTAGCAAAGAACTCGAGATAGTGAACAGCATCATAAATCTTAAAAGCCAAAGCTGTGCAAAAACATGAGGACAACGTCGCGCTATCCTAGCCTCTTGCGGATGATCTGTCTGTGGAGCAGCCGCCACGTTTCTCACTTCCTTGACATCAGCCTGGCCTTCATCCTCCGATCTGGCCCAAATAGAGCCCAGTGATTCTGTGGGGGTGATTGGCCCATGTTCGCAATTGGGCAAACTACACTCCAACTGTGGTGGCACACGCATTACTATGACATCGCCCACCTTGCCACAGACACGGCGCCCCATAGACTTTCTGCTCTCCTGGCTCAAACTACGCTGGCAAGGTGTAGGAAAAGAAGGAAAAGAACCGAACGAGGGAGATGGAGAGGAAGGAGGGAGAAGAAAAAGGGATACAAAGAGTCCACGCCTCCGACCCCATATCGATGAAACTTTCCCCCTGCTCCAGCTTCCACCGCTGTTCATCGGTCAATCGGTCACCTTGAACTGGCTGGGGCTCTCCCCTGATCCAAATCAAGGGAGCTTTGGGCGCCTGCGCTAGCAGCAAAATTGGAATTCAACGAATGAAGGAGGTGACAAACTCACCGTCCTTCTCCACAGAGCAACTCTCCACAGGCTCCTAGCGTTTTTTGAGATGGTGACATCGCCCAACCTACTCGTATAGCAAGTCCAAGCACACTCAAAATGCAAGAAGCATTGCACCATGCTCCTTCTCGTGTCCTTTTGTCGCATTGTCGGCGCCGCTAGCTTCGGGGCTGGCCTGACACAACTAAAGTGTGGTGCGTGTCACTCGCAGATTGTCCAACACATGTACGTGGCGCCTTGAGCCCCGATCCGTGGCAAGGAGTCCGCTGGGCATCATCCTGCCCACGTTCGTGCTTTGAAGAGGTTGAGGGCGCTATATAGTCACACAAAATGACCGCCTTTGTCGTGGCCTTTGCCTCACCTCGCAAAACTTGAACGGGTCTAGAGTCTAAAGGCTCTGCAATTGAAGAAAGTACCTCTTAAGGAACCTGGCCTCCTGAAGGATGTTTCGAAGCTTCCAACCATTCTTTGAACTTCTGCTTGTGCTGAAGGCTTGGCTCAAAACTGGTTGGTGGATTGATTTCCTGATCTCGCAAGACAGGTCATGAACTGAA